CGAAGGGCCTGTACTGCGCTGTAATGTTCTATGTTCTATGTTCTATGTTCAATTTGGTCTATCATTAGCACAGATGAAGGTATGGGATTTTCATGGTTGTGTTACCAGATCAGTAAACCAACAGGCCTGGATTAATGATCTGAGCGCAAAAGGTTCAAGTCCCAACACAACAGCTTGAGAATTTAAATTTAATTAAATTAATCTGGAATAGAAAGCTAAGAAAGTGCTGGATTGCTGCAAAAATCCATCTGTTTCACTAATGTCCTTGAAGGAAAGAAATTTTCAGTCGTTTATATAACCTGTTATCTCTGACTTCACATCCATTGACCCTGAGAAAGCCTGGCAAGTCACTCAGTTCACAAAATCATTGAATTAGCACAGTTAAGAAAGAGGCCGTTTGGTCCATTGTGCCCATTCTGGTCCTCAGAATGTGCAATTTACTTGCTGCCATTCTCTCACCTTCTCTGTCAGCCTGCTTGTTCTTCCCTTTCAGATAACAAATTCAAATTCCCTAATGAACAGCTCAGTTATAAGACCTTAATAAAATAATATATCGGAGCAGAATTGGACCATTTGGCCTGTTGAGTCTGATCCATCATTTCATCATGGCTGATTTATTTCTCAGTCCCATTGTCCTGCCTACACCCTGTAACACTTGATCTCCTTAGTAATCGAGAACCTATCTATCTCTGTTTGAAGTATACTCAATGATTTGGCCCCCACAGCACTCTGCGGCAATAAGTTCCACAGATTCACTCCTCCTCTAGCTGAAGAAATTCCTCCTCATCTCAGTTCTAAAGGACCATCCCTTCACTCTGAGGCTGTGGCTTTGGGTCCCGGTGCCTCTTGCTAATGGAAACATCTTCTCCACATCCATTCTCGCCAGGCCTCTCAGGTTTCTGGAAGCTTCCATCAGATCTCACCTTCCAAACTCCACTGAGCACAGAAACAGAGTCCTCAACCACTCCTTGTATGACAAGTTCTTTGTTCATTGGGATCATTCTTGTAAACCTGCTCTGAATCCCCTCCAACGTCAACACATCCTTCCTTAGATATGGAGCCCAAAACTACTCACATTGAGCCTCCCTCCAATACATTATCAGGCAGTACATTCCACAACCTGTCTTTCACTATCTTCCTTCTCAAGGGTAATGATATTAAGTATGGACAATAAGCATTTGGCTTTGTCAGTGACATATACTGTGAGTGAGCTACGAGCTCACAGAGGTAGCAGGTGGTTTACCTGAACCAGGTAGTCCAGGTTAGATTTAGACCCACGTTATTAATCCTCAGAGATAAAATATGTATTTAAAAATAATTTTAAATGCAAATAATAATTATAATTCTAAATTATAAGTCTAATTCTAAACACCAGGCACAGATTCACAAGTCCATTATGGATGCCTGGCTGAGTTTCAGTACTGAGTACTGTAAAAATCACTGTAAGCCATAAGCAACACCATCTATGATGATGATTCGTGGGCAAAGCAGTTCAGGATTGCAAAGAAGTGAAATGTAACATTTGATCATCCTGTATCAGTCTCTGTACCAGCGTCTACCATATCAATATGATCTGTAACTAGTTGCTAATATGCAATAAACATATTCCAAATGATGAGAAGAGACTCTTCCAATTAGTTTTCCTTCGCTGTACTGGGCTAAAAGAGGATGGAGGAAGCAACTTTCACCATAAACTGGAATTATGGCATAGTAGTTTTGTGGATTTGTGTTGACTATTCATACAAAAAAAGGCGCTAAATAAATACAAGTCTTTCTTTTGCATTAATTTTCAAAGTCAACTACAGATAATGAAAGTGATAAATCAGAAGAGACATGAAACGGACACAGATTTACAGTGGTAGATTGGAAAAAGTAATGAGAAAGTCCTGAGCCTACCAAGACTGTACCACATGTCCCGGATTGCAGCCCCGATCACACCTCTCATATCTCCGTACCTGTAGAATATAGGGAGAAAATTCAGTCAATGCACTCTTAAAACACTACAAGTTCTTCTGTATGAAACATTGAAGAGTGTATTGGATGATTATCTGGTTAGAAATAGTGTGCAAGAGAATGGGGAGAAGGCAGGAGATTGACACTCGAAAATGATGCTTGTTTAGGAGCTGGTGCGAGCACAGTGGGCCAAATAGTCTCATATAGTTATAGAGTAATACGGCATCGAAGCAGGCCCTTTGGCCCAAACTGGTCCATGCTGACCATGGTGCCCACACAGCTGTTTCCAATTGCCCACATTTGGTCCATATCCCTCTAAACCCTTCTCATCCATGTCCCTATCTAAATGTTTTTTAAATGTTGCTATTGTACCTGCCTCAACCACTTTCTGTGGCAGCCTATTCCATATGCGCACCACTCTCTGCATGAAGAAGTTGCCCCTCAGGTCCTTCTTAAATCTTTCTCCTCTCACCTTAAACCTATGTCCTCTAGTTTTCAATTCCCCATCCCTGGGAAAAAGACTTTATGCATTCATCCCATCTCTGCCCCTCATGATTTTATATACCTCAATAAGGTCACCCCTTAATCTCCTACATTCCAAGAAATAAAGTCATATCCTGGCCAACCTCCCCCTATAACTCAGGCGTACTAGTCCTGGTAACATCCTTGTAAATCTTCTTTGCACACTTTCCAGTTTAACTGTGTCTTTCCGATATCATGGTGACCAAAACTGTACACAATACTCCAACTGCGGCCTCACCAACAACTTATATAACTATAACATAACGTCCCAACTCCTACACTCAGTGCCTCAATTGAGGAAAGCCTGCATGCCAAACATCTTCCCCATCCTGTCTACCTGTGACGTCGCTTTCAACAAACTATGTACTTGTATTCCTAGGTCCCTCTGTTCCACAACACTCCTCAGGACCTTACCATTTACTGTATAAGTCCTACCTTGGTTTGACTTTCCAAAGTGCAGCTCTTCACACTTATCTGTATTGAATTGCATTTGCCAATCCTCAGCCATTTCCCCATCTGATCAAGATCCCCCAGTAATTTTTGATAACATTCTTCGCTACCAACGATACCTCCTAATTTTGTATTATCCGCAAACTTACTGATCATGCCTTGTACATTCACAACCAATCGTTTATGTAAATAACAAATGACAAATAACAAAGGCCCCAGCACTGACCTCTGTGGCACACCACTAGTCACAGGCCTCCAGTCAGAGAAACAACCTTCAACCATCACCCTCTGCTTCCTACCATTGGGCCATTTGAATCCAGTTAGCTACCGCTACCTGGATACCATGCAACCTAACCTTCGTGATTAGCCTGCCATGTGGGACCTTGTCAAAGGCCTTACTAAAGTCCATACAGACAACATTTACTGCCCTACCTCATCTATCCTCTTGGTTACCTCTTCGAAAAACTCTAAAAGATTTGTTGGACATGAACATGCGCACAAATCCATGCTGACTATCCCTAATCAAACCTCCTGTCAGTCTCTGTTTTGCACTGTAACTATTCTGTGATCCAGTGAATGAATCCTGGCATGGGAATTGCAGAGTCTAACTGCATTCCATACGCATATATGTCGGATTAGGATTTTGTTCATTCTTATGTAATTTTATTTCTCACGTGATTATGTATAAAACACTGGTTTAGTCTTGCTTGGTGTTTTGCATCCAGTCCCGGAAACCATACTTTTGAACGAATGTGAAGGCATTAGTGAGAGTGCAGGAAAAATAGCAAGAATGTGGATGAGAATTTCAGTTGAGTAAATAAATTGGAGAAGTTCGGATGGCTTTCTTTGGAGACAAGGAGTTTGACAGAAGATTTGATAGGGGCACTCAAATTCGTCAAGAGTCTGGGCCTAGTAGAAAGGGAGAACTTGCTCTCATTAGTAGAAAGATCAAGCACATGGAGGTACAGATTTGTAAAGCACTGTAGATCCAAGGAGAAACATTTTCATGCAGCGAGTGGTTAAGACCTGGAATGGAATGAATGCAGGGTTGAATTGAGGGTGTCAAGAGGGAATTGGATTGTTATCTAAAAGGGTAGGGTTACAGGGAAGAGGCAGGGAGAGGCACTATTGCTCAATCCAAGAGCCAGCACAGACTCATTGAGTCATACGGCATGGAAATGGACCTTTCAGTCTGACCAGTCCATGCCGACCATAATCTCAAACTAAACTACTGCCACATGCTTGCACTTGGCATGGTCCAAACAATTCTTATGCATGTACTTATCTAAATGTGTTTTAATCATTGTAACTGTACCTGCATCCACCAGTTCCTCTGGAAGCTCATTCCACACAGGAACCACTCTCTCTATAAACAAATTGCTTCTCATGTCTTTTTATTCGAATTCTTTTCTCCTCTTACTTTAAAAATATACCCCCTCGTCTTGAAATTTCCAGGGAAAAGATCCCTGCCATTCATATTATCTACACCCCTCATTATTTTGTGAACCTGTATAAGGTCACCTCTCAACCTCCTACACTCCAGTGAAAAAAGTCCCAGCCTATCCAGTCTTTCTTTGTAACCCAAACGCTTCATTCCCAGCAACATCATGGTATATCTCTTCTGAACTCTCTCCAGCTTAATAATATCCTTTCACTATCAGGGTGACCAGAACTGGACACAGAATTCCAGGAGAGGCCTCACCAATATCCTGTACAATGTCAACATAATTTCCCAACTCTTATGCTCAAAAATCTGAGCAATGAAGGCAAGCATGCTAAATGTCTTCTTCACCACCTGTCTAGGTGTGATGCAAACTTTAAAGAATTATGTACTTGAACCCCTAGGTCTCTCTCTACTCCAACACTACCCAAGGGCCTATTTTTAATTGTACATGTCTTGTCTTTGTCTTTCCTTCTTTGACTCCATATGCTGAATGGTGCTGTCACAACTCTGTGATACAGTTTTTGCCTCATCTTGGCTTATAACTAGTCATGAATTTGGAACATAGCAAGAAAAAACAGTAAATAGTTCAGTTCTTCATTTGCAGGATGCTTCAGGCTATGGATCATATTTAGAAAGAAGATGCATTCTCAGCAAGGAAAAAGGTTGTTTTGTTCACAAGGAATGATGCCTAAGAATATTAAGAAAAGAAATGGGACAATGAGCTTAAGGTGACAAACACGATGACCATCTCGTGCATTGTCGGGAAGTAATGAATTTCTGGGAGTCTTCTTTGCAATAATTTTAATCAGGAAGTAATGAATCATTATTAAGGAAAATGTATGATTATGTACTGTAAAAGGTCCTGAGCATTGTTTTACGGATTATAGAGAGGTGCTGACAAGAACAAAAGGATCCATAATGTTTTCAGCTGTCCATACACAGAAAATCAGGATAATTTATGGAGGTTCAGTGGTTAGCAGTGCTGCCTCACAGCGCCAGGGGCCCGGGCTTGATCCCAGCCTCGGGTGACTGACTGCGTGGAGTTTGCACATTCTTCCCGTGTCTGCGTGTGTTTCCTCCCACAGCCCAAAGATGTGTAGATTGGGTGAAATGTCCATGCTAAATTGCCCCGTGCAGGGATATACAGTTTAGGAGGATTAGCCTGTGATAAATACGGGGTCACGGGGATAGGGTAGGAGACTGGGTCTAGGTGGGATACTCTTCAGAGGGTCGGTGCAGACCCGATGGGCCAAAAGGCCTCTTTCTGCTCTGTAGGGATTCTGTGATTTTATAGTTTGACCTGTTTAGACATTGAGAGGATCAAAATGTGATCGAGCTCAAGAATGTAAGAAATAGCGGCAGGAATTGGCCAAAGGGCCCTTGAATCTGTTCGGCTGATTGTCTACCTCAACTCCACATTTTAGCTCTGTCTCCATATCCTCTTATTCCTTGAGTACTATAAGATCTCATCTTGAATATACTCAACAACTGGGCATCCACTGTCCCCTGGATGAAAGAATTCAAAGTATTCATGATTTAGGAGCAGAAGTAAACCATGCAGCCGCTTGAACTTGCCTCATTTTCAATATGATCATGACGAATAGAATCGTGGCTTTGACTCCAAGTTCTCGCCAACTCTTTGTCAAGAATCCAACTACCCACTGACTTCAAAATATTCAATATTTATTATTCATTCACAGGATGAGAGTGTCGTTGGCTAGGCCCGCATTTATTGTCCATTCTAAGGGGCTGTTAAGAGCCAACCCCATTGCTGTGGGTCTGGAGTCACATGTAGGCCAGACCAGGTAAGGATGGCAGTTTTCTTCTCAAAAGGACATGAGTGAATCAACTGGATTTTTTCCTTGACAAACAACAACTATTTCACAGTCATCATTAGACTCAACTCCAGATCTTTATTGACCTGAAATTCCACCATTCGCCACGGCAGGATTCAAACCTGGGGCCCCGGAACATAACCTGGCTCCCTAGATTAACAGTCCATTGAAAATACTGTGAGGCCATTTACTCCCCTAACCCAGCTTCTCTCTGAGGAAGACAGCTCTCCAAACTTGTGACCCCTTGAAAAAGAAAAATTACACTTTGTCTTCATTTTAGTGCAATTCTAATCTCTCCCATAGCAGAAACACTCTCTGAGCATCCCACCTGTCATGACCTCACATGAAGCCGAGGTTCAATACTGTCACCTCTCACTTTTCTCATTTTCAATTGATGCTGGCCAAGTAGCGAAAGACTGAAGCAAAGTGGTGTTTGGGAGTCCTTGTCTAACAACCTCAAAAAACTAGCCTCCAAGTTCAGCCGCTAGTTGGGAAGGCAAATGGGATATTGGCCTTTATTTCAAAGGGAATGGAGTATAAAAGCTTTCTTCCTAGAAGTCCCCATCTGAATTTCAATGCTCAGGATAAACTAGAGGTCAGCTATGGTGTGACACTGGCTATTGATTGACCACCATTTTCCTGATGACTGATGTCAAATTAAATAGAATGCAGGTCCCCCTCTTTTCTCTCCTTCATGACTTGAAAAAACAGTGATTCATTTGCAAATTTCTAATCCACTGGGAATATTCTA